TTGAATATCTAGAAAACACCCCACAGACACACACATATATACTGGCACTGCAACAGTCATCAATATGAACTTATCAAGCCTCCAAATGTAAATCCAAATGTGACCATGGGGGTGATAAGTGTGAAAAACGGTCCTAAGCCTTTTTTTAGGGCTGTTGTCACTTCAGATGGTCATTAAACGAATTGTTGTAAGTCAAGGACGATCTGTATTTCATATGGCATAAAATTGTAGGGCTGGAAGGGACCGAAGAAGTTGTCTAGTCCAGCATTCCCAAACCTTTTGGGGATCGATGACCCGCAGATGGGGTTGGGCTTGCTTGCGCAGCCCGGTTGCTGGTCCATGGACCAGGGGTTGGAGTTCCCTGTTCTAGTCAAACCCCCTGCTTAAGGCAGGAGATGTTATACCATGTGTTGTGACCAGTGGTGAGTTGCAGGTGGTACGCCCTCGTACGGGCGTATCGGAGCCAGCCCGGAGCACCGGATACCGTTCTGGTATGGTACTCCGGAGGGCCCACCTGAATGGCTTACTGGTGTTTAAAGGCTTCTGTGCTTCCGTGCAGGCGCATGGTGCATACAGTGCCTGCGTGATGCTCCGCGGAGCAGCTGGAGCATTGCGGAGGCACTAAGATGCATGCGCGTGCTGCGCACATCCATGAGGACGCTGCTGGCCCCGTTCCAACCGTACCAGTTGGAACAGGATTTGCAACCCACTACTGGTTGTGACCCACCAGCGGAGTAACAGTGAGGCAGAAGAACAGCTGGAGCCTGTTCCCAGTGTGCACATGCACAGAGCTGCCAGAAGAAAAGAACAGAAATCAGGTTTGATTTGGGAGTAAGGCCACAGATGGACGGTGAATGGCCCCTCCCAGAGAAAATAAAAAGAGGAGCGAAAGGGGAGGGGAGTCTGCAGGAGATCGTTAGTTTGCTTAATTGGTTCGTGATTCTCCGAGACTCCTTGCCAAGTTTTGCAGCTATCGGCCTGGCAGCTCTCCAAGCCAGATAAGGTCTGTGACGGTAAATCCTCCCTTGAAAGACTTTGCTGGATGTCAATGAGCAGAATTCACAGTCAGTTAATAAAAGGATTTTTTTTTATCGGGGCCAGGAGTTTGTTTCATGCTCTTGGGAAGCCTCAGTCACAACACCATCCTGGTCAAAATTATTTTGGAATATTTGACACCATTGTATCTGCAGAACCCACTCATCAAGACAATCATGGGGACTCCAGTCCCAAATATCTAGAAGGCTTCATATCACCTTGAAGATTGCTCTTAGCATCTAGCCTTGCCTGCCGTTGTCCTGGCCGCACAACAGAAGGCCACATCCCTTTAACAGTGGCCCACACCCTGCCTTTATCAGAGGCTGCAAGGAAGGACCCAACAGAATTTGAGAAGGCGGACCCTTCGCGAGGCACATGAAATACCACTGATAATAGTTTAGTTTAGTTTACTTTATTGTCATTGCACATTGTACAGCGAAATTAAATGCCACATCATACACATGTACATTATAACTATAAAAATAAAAACACAAACACACATCCTTCATATGCTATACAATTGAATTGAAAACCCCTGATATTGCATTAATATTTCACTATACAGTAGAATTCAGAATGGTTACTGCCCTGGGATAGAAGCTGTTTTTCAGTCTGTTTGTTCTTGTCTTTATTATCCTGTACCGCCTGCCAGATGGTAATAGTTCAAAAAAAGGGGCGCCCAGGAGGAGATGGATCTTTAAGAATGTTTTGAACTTTCTTAAGGCAGCGGGAGCTATCAAGCTCTTCCAAGGAGGGGAGGGGGCAACCCATGATCCTCTGGGCAGTGGCGACCCTCTGGAGCGCTGTCCTATCTGCCACTGTGCAATTGGCAAACCAGACATAGGTGCAGCAAGTTAAAATACTCTCTATGGTGCAGTGGTAGAAGCAGAGGTGGAATTTGCGGGTTCACGCTGTTCAGTAGTTTGTGAACTGGTAGTAAAGATAATAGGATACCATTATTGGGTCACCAGTAGTTTTTCATAGAAAGACACAATGAATTCACGGCCCCAAGTTCTCACATCCGTTCGGTTGGGAGTGATTCCAGAAAAATGTCTGAGGAAACACGAACCGGTTGCCTTGAATGAATCACTCCGGGGTAGTAAAAAGACGAGCTTGCATAAGGGTGGAAGTGAAACTTTCAGGGAAATTGCCACAGAGGGGGAAATCTCTTTCGAAAGAAATGGCCCTCGGAGGCTGTTTTTTTGCTGGCTGAATGACTGTCTTCAGCCTCACAGCTAAGTAGGAAGTTAATGTTAAAGACCCCTTACTGCAAACCACAATCGAGCAGTAGTTGCTTAAACATGGCTTTTAGAAAAGAGAATAATGGTGCTGAAAGCTGCTTTCGGTCGTCTTAAATTTCATGGCCGATTCCTAAGCCCCACATGCAGCGGTGGTTAAATCCTATTGAAGTAGGAAAAATGTCGGGCTGTTAAGTAATTGCTGCTTAAGGGGTCGTCCAAGAAGAACAAATGTGGAACGCTTTTTAGCATTCCATTTTTTAAAGGAAGCCTCGTCCTCCACTAAGCAAAAAGTAGCTTGCTTTGCTGTTGCCTTAGCATCTTAAATCTATAAACCCAGCCATTGTGTTTTAGGGTTAGTAGACACATGCCATGAGCCAACTGATTTATTTAAGAGCGGTGGCTTAGCGCAAACGGGGATTTGCTGGGAAAACCCCCACCCCTATACTTTTGATCAATTTGAAATCCGTCTTTTTGGCAAACTTGGCAAATTTAAGGCATTGTGTAGATGCTGCCTGGGGAATTCTGGGAGTTGAAGTCCACACATCTTAAAATTGCCAAGGTTGAGAAACTGTCCTGTCTTAGCTTAAAAACAAAATAAATAAACAGGCACCCCCTCAAAGCTGGTGAAAGTGGAAAACTTCATCAGGGCATAATTTTTTGTACTTTTCCAGACCGTATATCTTTGAATAGTTATTCCAGGGGTCGGCAACCTTAAACACTCAAAAGAGCCACAAAAGGTCCTAAACGGAAGCCCCCCGTTCAATTCTGAAGCCGACCGGAAGTCCGGTTCCCCCACCATAGAGTCTCCTCCTAGTGCAGCATCCTTTTTTACCTGTCCTAACAGAAAGCCCTATCAATTGTGGAGCCAACTGTGACAGAGCTGCAGCAGAAGGATGAAAAAGCCACATGCGGCTCCAGAGCCACGGGTTGTCGACCGCTGAGTTATTCAGTAGCTGTTGAGTAGCTCAAATTATTATTTTGCATTAATCGACACTGTGTCTTGATCCTATTTGACCAGATAAGTGATGGTATGAGCAGTAGCAGAGATTAGCTGGCCACTCTCCCAAAGCTTTAGTGCCTGGCAGCTAACAATATTTTTTTAAACAAGTAAAAACAATCATCAGTTAGAGGAAAAAGTCCTGGCCATTGTAGTAAATTCTCAATTTACAGCCATAATCGGCAGTGGAATTTCCGTTCCTAACCAAGGCATTTTTAGTTGTGAGTTGTGCAGGATTTTATGACCTTTTTTTTTTTTTTTTTGCCATGGCTGGAAAACACATCACTACCGACATTAAGTGAATCACGAGGATGTTAAGTGAATCTGTGTTCCCCCATTTCGTTTTGGAACCCGGCTGGAAAGATTGCAAATAGAAACCACATATCTCCAGGACACTCAACTATCATAAACACAAGTAGTCCATAAATACAACAGTTCGTGTTGTACTGGCCAGCTGGAGGGCGCACGCATGCGCGGTGGACCTGAGCTGGGGCAATGGCTTGCGGGCCCTCAGAAATGACTCCGTGTGCCACCTGTGGCACGTGTGCCATAGGTTCGCCATCACAGCCCTATATCATCTCAGACAAATGGTTGCCCAATCTCTTCTTAAAGACTTCCAGTGTTGGGGCATTCACAACTCCTGGAGGCAAGTTGTTCCACTGGTTAAATGTTCTGACTGTCAGGAAATTTCTCCTCAGTTCTAAGTTGCTTCTCTCCTAGATTGATTTCCACCCATTGCTTCTTGTCCTACCCTCAGGTGCTTTGGAGAATATTGTCGCAGGATGTCAGTTGTTCCAAGTAAAACTGCATTTTGCAATTGACAGTTGTTGTTGTTGTTATTGCTATTAGCCATGAAAGAGGGTTTGCTGAATTACTCATTCAAATCTTGATATTCCTCCTGTGTTTTGTTTTCAGCTCCAGAACCTGGGTATCAACCCGGCCAACATCGGCTTCAGTACGTTGACCATGGAATCGGACAAATTCATCTGCATACGAGAGAAAGTGGGAGAGCAGGCTCAGGTGGTCATCATTGATATGAACGACTCGAACAATCCGATCCGCCGGCCAATTTCGGCCGATAGCGCCATCATGAACCCTGCTAGCAAAGTGATTGCCCTCAAAGGTACGGAAAATGTTTTCCAGCCGATTTCCCCTTTTCATGATTCCAAGGCTTGGATTTTAATGTGTCTGCTGAAGTGTCCCAGCATCCTAGGTTCCTTGTTGGAACCGCAATTGCTAATTAAATAAGTGTAAATTTTCATTTTCTCCCCTTGATAGTAATGAAAGACTGTGCTTTGCCCAGGGTTTGCAACAATAATTGTGTGAAAACTAATGGGATTGATTAGTTCCCAAGCATTTGACCATCTCGGCATTATCCTATCTTAAAATGTGCGCTTTTAATGTGTAGCAATTGAAAAAATAGGTGCTGTCCTTTTTTAAAAAAAGAAGCAGCAGCAGCATGGAGGTTTTGTTAAAATATTTCAGGGCAAAGATGTAGATACTTCCGGCAAACACAATGACTTTTATTTTCCTAAGGCATGCACAAATTCCCTACCCTGTTATATGCCGAATATCCAGGGGTGGGCTTCAAAAATTGCAGCAATGGGTTCGCTGCCCTGTTGCTGTGTGGGTGTGGCCATGGTGAGCATGGCCTAGTTGGCCTCCTCTACCACGGCAGGGGGGGGACACATTTTTCGCCTTCCCCAGGCTCCGGAGGTTTTCCTCGAGCCTCCGGAAGGGCAAAAACTACTTCCCCTGACTTTTGGAGGCTGGAAACAAACCAATTTCTTGACTCCAGAACCTCTGGTAGTCCCATTTCCCCCCCTCCCTGAGCCTCCGCGCAGGCCCTGCACTTACCTGGCATGATGAATGGGCCACATGGAGACTCTTGGGACGGGAGGGGTGGGGTAGGCATGGCCAGCTAGGAGTGGCATTTGAGCATTCGCCAAACTGGGCAGAATCCTAGACAGAGGATCGCCTGAACCCATTCAAATGCCCAGCAGCCCACCCCTGCGAATATCTCCTGATCTAGATCATTATAGGGGTAAATCAAAATGAAGTTATCGTTCCTCTTACAGGACCATAGGGGCGGCGTAGTGGTTAAGATGCAGGGCTTGTTGGTTGGAAACCCAGCAGCCCAGGTTCAAGGCCTGAGGGCCACGCGACGGGTGAGCTCCCGTCCTCCCCCTCAGCTCCTGCCGATCTAGCAATTCGACAGCAGGCAAATGCGAGTAGATAAATAGGTATCAACCTGGTGGTAAAGTAACAGTGTTCTGTGACGTGATGCTGGCCACGTGACCGGGGAAATGTCAAGGCTCAACAGTCTTGAAATGGAGCACTGCCCCCTAGAGTCAGCAACAAGTAGAGGGGTAAAATCCTCCGGGACTCCTTGCGCAAGGGTCCCCAAACCCTGATCCGTTGATTGATCCACGGCATGCCAGCAACTGGTCCGCACAAACAAGCAAAGCCCCATCCGCGGGATGCTGGCAGCATGCAAAACCACGTTCCCTCCTGTCCACGGAAAAGCCTCCCCCCACGGGACTGGTCCCTGGTGCCCAAAAGGTTGGGGGCCGCTGCCTTACGCAACTATAGTTCTAGTCTACCTTAGGCCTCTTATGGTTCCAACTCACATCCCAAGTTGAACTACCTTGTTTTCCCCAAAATAAGACCTCCCCACATAATAAGCCCAGTCGGGCCATTCAGCGCATGCGCTAAAGTAAGCCCTCCCGTGAAAATATTGCAACACAATAGCAGCCATGAGGTGACCACGCTCGCCGCCTCTTGCACCTCAAAAACAATACGATCCCCCTCCCCCGAAAATAAGGGCAAGCGCTTATTTTGGAAGTCAAAAGAAAAGACCCCGTCTTATTTTTGGGGAAACACGGTATCTTTACAATGGATGCTAAATGTCTCGGATAAACCAGTTCTTTTCTTCCCCCAAAGCACAGCAAATCTGCCTCTAGTAATATCCACAGATTGCCACGTTTTTGTTTCCCTCCCCATGGTGGATAAACTTGAGGTCTCAACTGTCTCATTACAGCAGCGTCCTCTTTTCTGACGGCTTTAATGTTTTATCACTATTTTTGTCACACTTCCTAATGCTTTCTTGTGTGTGCAGATGGTGAGTTACCTCTGTTTCAGATTGTATTTGCCTTTGTCCTGTTTTATGAAAAGGGAATGCCAAAAGATTGACAGGCTTCAAAAGTTAGCGTTTGCTGCATTTACGAGGGGCTGCCGATGTGCAAAACTCAGTGATCCAGGAACGGGATGCTCTGGGACACTCCGGGACATCTCCTGGATGAGTTAGTTCTGCGCATCCCTAACCAGAATCTCTCTTCATGCCGTGTGAAGTTTGGGGTTTTCCAGCACTCGGTGACAATTGGGAAGGAGGGGAAATAATGCTAAAACCTGCAAGCATTTCTGCTTGGGTACGCATCGGACTTTTTATAAACGGGACAGAGACTTACAATATCATATCTGGCTGTATATTGCTTTTTGTGTTTATTCTGTATATATAACGTGGTGGGGGGCTGAAATGAAGCCTTTCAGGCTTTCAAAGAAAAGGGAAAAGGAACGAGTTCTTAGCCTATTGATTTATGTATATCAATATTGATTTATACCCCCCTCCCCCATTCGTTCAGGATTCAAGGCAGTTCCCTAGCCCCTCCCTCCCTTGTAAAAACTACCTCCTGAAATCCATGATCATGTAGGGTTGTTGTTGTTGTTGCTTTTTTTTAAATAAAAAAAAAATCAGCTTAACCTTCTATTTAAAGGACAACATCCGAATATGGAATCTAACTCTTTGGTGGACAAGTGTGAGTGTTTAACCCTCAAATTTAGTGTTTCAATAGCTTTGAAAGTCTTTACCTGCATAGTTTCAGTGCTTTTGTGTTCCTTTGGATTGAAGGTGGTGCAGTCTTGTGGGGCTGGTAGTGTCCTTGGAAGTATCTGTAGCTCAATCTCTTAGTCCCCCGTCCCCCCTCAAACTTTTTAGCCTGTTCTCCCCTTGTTCCAGTATGTTCGCTTCTAGCCTCCCTTGCCTTCCCCTCTCTTCCACAAATGTCATATCTTTACGAAGAGGTATATTCTCTTCCCTGTGCTTGTCCTTTTAAACGACATCATCAATATTTTATAGCAGGGGTGGGGAACTAGGGCCCTTTTATGATTTGTGGACTTCAAGTCCCAGGATTCCTGAGCCAGGAAGTTCACAAGTCTTAAGCTCAGGAATCCTGGGACTTGAAGTCCACAAATCATAAAAGGTTCCTAGTTCTCCACCCCTGCTTTACGGTAATTGACATGTAAGGGGGGTAATTTCACAGGGTTCTAGGTATTTGTGTTTTATCCCTTCTCTATCCTACATTTTCCTCAAAGATCTTCAGAGGAGTTCTCATTTTATTCTTAGAGAGCGATCCTGTGTGGCAGATTAGAGAGGTTAGATTAGATTACATGGAAGGCTATTTCCTGAATTTGGAACACCCACACAGGAATTCAGACTCACATTTTCCTGGTTTGTGGGTCTCAGCTAAAGCACACTTAACACCACATATAAGAAGGACTTTGAAAGTACCAATAGAAGAGATTGTCTGTAGCTCAGGGTTGAACAGTGGGGTTCTTGGTACTCTGAGCTTGGTTGTTTCCTTGCAGAAAGCTTTTCATTGCCCAACTAGGTAATATCATCAGTGCTAAGAGGGAGTGGGGTTTTCTGTCATTTTATATACAGATGGCTTGTCCTGTCAGTATTTGTGGGATGGTTCATAGCGATTTCTTGACAAGGCTGTTGTTGGGGAACTTGCATGAACAGTCTCACCAATACTGTCAGAAACAGAGAGTTTACCTCCTCTCTTTCAGCACTGATGATGTTAGGTAGTTGGGTAATGAAACGTCTGCAAGAAAGCAACCAAGTTCAGAGATCCCCAAGGACCCCACTTTGAAAGTTTGGCAGCATGATCCACATTGAACATTATTGGGGTATTCCTCTTGGTGACCTGCACCCCCACTCTTCCTAGTTGTAAATATACTCTCTCCCCTTTCTAACCCCCCCCCTTTGTGTTTGCTGTATGTTTTAGTCCTTAGTATGCGTTAAGGGCAGCAGTTTGTTTAAAAAGCTTAAACTAACAATTCCATCTGCAAAAGTGCCCCCAAGATAAGACAGGGCAGCTAACCTCGGGCGATCCCCATATTTCTCCTAGATACGGATATTATTAACGTGTGTGTTGCACTGATGTTGTATGTCTTGGTGTACTTTTTATCTTCTCAAGCAAGACGTGAAATGAGTTGCTTGGGTTAAGGATGAGTAACTTTGCATGAATGTTGAGCATCATGAGAGAAAACACTTGTGCTGCAACTGGCTTTGAAAGCCCTTAATCAGTTCAGCCCTTGGCTCTCTTAGGACTCACGTAGGACAGAAATGGCCCTTGAGAATTTGGCCATTTTTTACTGTCAAGTTACCGTGCATGATCCTTTCCCTGGGTTGGGATTTGGATATCCAGATAATCTTCGCAGGCTTAAACATCTGTAGGCTTTTAAGTGACTGGGCCATCCCGAGGAACTCCGCTCAATTAATGCACGCTCCTGTCTTTAGCTGGGAAGACCCTTCAGATTTTTAACATTGAGATGAAGAGCAAAATGAAGGCGCACACCATGACGGATGATGTCACCTTCTGGAAGTGGATTTCCCTGAACACCGTGGCGCTGGTGACCGACAACGCTGTTTACCACTGGAGCATGGAAGGAGAGTCTCAGCCGGTCAAAATGTTTGATCGTCATTCCAGTCTTGCAGGTTGCCAGATTATCAATTACCGTACCGATGCCAAGCAGAAATGGTTGCTTCTGACTGGGATTTCTGCGCAGGTAAGAATATTAAGGCCCTGCGGTAGCTTAACGGTTAAGACCCTGGTCTTGTGAGCTGGAAAGCCGGCAGCCCGGGTTCAATAGGATAGGAATAGGGAATAGAAAGCAAAGTTAGAGTAGAGTTTGGAATGGAATGACCGAGTTGGAAGGGACCTTGGTTCCTTTTCTAGTCCAACCCCCTGCTTAGGCAAGAAACCTATATCAGTGTTGGCGAACTTTTTCGGCATCAAGTGCTGAAACGGGAGCGCACACGCAAGGGAACACCAGACATGGGAACAGCAGCTCCTTGGCATGCACACGGGAGCACCGGAAACCGGAAGCGCATGTGCATGCTGGGAAATTGAGCTTGTGCTTTCCTGCGCACGCATGGATGCCAGCAACCTGGTCTTTCAGTTTTTGGCAAGCATGCGTGCGCAAAGACCAGCTGGCCAGCACACACCGGAATCCGGAAGAGCAACGGCCGATGGCTGGTGTTCCTGGAGAGATGGGTCTGCATAGGTTCGCCATCACAGCCCTATATCATTTCAGCCAAATGGTATAGTTCCAAAGCCTGCGAATGTGAGGAGATAAATAGGTACCACTATGGCAGGACGGTAACAGCACTCTGTAACATCATGCTGGCCCCATGACCAATGAAATATCTTCGTAGAGTGCGAGCTTGAAATGGAGATGAGCAATGCCCCCTACAGTTGGCAACAACTAATGCAGTAAAATCCGCAGGGACTCCTTCAGCTTTTTTATAGCCTAATGGGAACGAGCATTAATTAAAGCTGGGATCTCTGTTAGAGGACGTGGGAGAAGGTGGTTACTTTCTCACGTACATTCTGTGAGAAAACAGCCAAAATTCCCCTCTAGAACTGTTTGTTGTAGCAAAATGGAAATCTTTGTCTCCGAGGCCAGTCCGTGACCCATTTTAGTTCTGCTT